CTCTCTCTCTCTCTCTCGCTCTCCGTTCTTTCGGCGTCAGGTTCAACAAACTGCATAAACACACGTGAGCAAATCCAGCTTCATGCCGAAGTGACTTTTGATCTGCCTGCCATTGAGCACATGCCGTGCAAGCTTGGAGGGGTCTGCTTGGGAATGCGGAAGTTTCCTCAGCAATGATCTGTGGCTGCAACGACAATGCCTCTGCTGACGTGAAGGCTCTTGTTCTTCCAATGCCAGGTGGCTGAAGCAGGTTCCGCCAAACGGCCTCGCGACCTTTCTGGCTCAATGCCTCGTAGTGAAGTGCCACGGTGATGCGAGACCTGACCTGGGCAGATTGTGTGATCTGTCACCCACGAATGCTTACAAATGCTTCAGGCAATGTCAGGCACCCTACTGCAGGATCGATGTTGCTGGCCCGGTTTGAGGTCAGGAAGAGGATTCCTGACCAGGGCGGCCGAAGGGCAGAGGTGCGAGAGAGATAGATAGATAGATAGATAGATAGATATATATATATATATCTATATCTCCATCTGTCCAGCAAAGGGAGTCCTGATGTCTCGCATTGCTCCTCTTGACATTACTTGACTAGCCTTTCATTTCCTCTACAGATTGATTATCGTCCTTAGCACGTCAGTTAGCCTTCAACGCCCCTTTGCATCTGTCAGAGACATGTGGCATTCAATCTAAGCTTCTGCCCACCTCAGAAAAGGGATGATGGTAGAAATTTAGACGGCCACTGTTGATTTTGGAAGTCGTGTCTTGTGCGCAACGAGCGAGCACACGGGAAAGAACAACCAATGGCAATGTCAATCTCGACGAATTCCGTCACAGGAAAGCGTAATCGCTTCTTGCTGGGCCAATGTCTAGCAGTGATTCCAGCTAGAATCGAAGTCCCCGCTCAACCGGCTCCCTATCCTTGGTGATACTCCAGCAGCCGGAGCATGACGCAAACCAGCGCGTTCCGCTGCAGTTCAGAGGAGCTCCTGGCTTCAAGGAAGATGTCCTGAGCTCCGAAGGAGATCCGACAGAAAGCGCACTTCGGGTTTTCGTTGGAGGTTGGTCGACAACCGACAGGGACGAGCAGCAGCCTCGTCAATGAGTGTGAGTGCATTCCATTCACTGCACAGGTGCAGCACCTTCAAGAAGCACATCTGCTTCGCATGGTCAGGCATCTGGCGTTGTGTTGTCCACACTGCAAACTATCCAATCGCTGCACCTGCGACAAGTTCTGCTCAACTTCCTGCGCGTTGATGCCCAAATCACCAGCCGTAACCACCTGAGTCTGAATGAAGTATTCGAGCGTTCCGACTGCACAGATCGAAAATGACACTTGCCGTGGGAGGCACATAGAGCGGCATGTGAAGCATCTCAGCGATGGCTTCGGCCGTGAGTGTCTTGCCACAGCCAGGTGGGCCGTACAGCAAGAATATTGTGTTGTCTCCCTGGCATGCAACGAGTCAGCCATCAAAATAAACTTGATACGCTTGTCTTCGAAATGTTTGTCGTAATTGATCGAGGTCCCTTGGAAACTGGGCCGCTCGGGCCTCCAACCGAGTTCACAAACCAGGCTCGATTTTTCCGGGCCCGCGAACTGTCGTAAGCACCATATAAGAAGAGCTGCCGTGAGCTAGACTTGCTCCCCGAGAGCTTTGGTTCTGAACTCAAATCGAAGCTCTCACTCGTAGCAGGGCCCAAAACAAAAAAAACACAAACACAAAAACAAACACACACACACACACACTTTGGCTTGGCACGAACTGATGCAAAGAAAGACTGACAGGACGAGACTCAACATAGACGGACTGCATACGCCAGTTCACTGTTTGTTTGGCCAGAAACAACAGCGTTTGAGGGTACTTCGGGCTGGCCATGCTTGCAGGTACAGGTGGTTGATCAGACCACCCTTCCCCCATCTTGGAATAGCTTCGTTGGCACAGGTATCCAAGACGGGCCTGTGCCCCCTGCATGTTCACTATGAAAGAAGGACTGTCCGCGCTTCCCGTGCGGGAAGGAAAAATTCTGGCGCATTCCCTTGCGCTCACCCTGCGGAAACAAGAATCTAACAGCGCTACCCGTGCGGGAAGGAGAAACTGTTTGCGCATACCCTGCGGGAAGATAAAACTGCTGCGTGGCAGAAGCAAGCCACCTTGTATGAACATGTAATGCAAGCAGAGTCAGTCGCCATGTACAGGCGTGCACACACACACACGCCCAGGTTACGCCTGGGCTATTGCAGAAGAAGGCGCTGAAACTATTTTTTAAACATGGATGCAGTCAAGCGGTACGTGCACAGATCACGGTGAAAATTGGATTAAGGTCAGTGACCGGTCTTGTGTAGGGAATGTGTTTCCCATCTTGCTGAAACTGGAAAGCTGAAACTTTGGGACTCCATCCACGAGCTCTCCAGATCACAGATTGCAGCTGTCTTTTTACATCGTCGACAGTGTCATTCGAGTTGCACTGCAATTGAAATGTCATCTGCTGTCCCCAATGGTCCTGAGGCATTGTAATATCGAGCAGAATGCGTCTGGGTTCGACAGGTAGTTGTGCATCCATGGCAGTGCGCTTCATCTTATGTAGTGAAGCTACACAGAAGCTGAGAACATGATTAGCAGTGGCAGTCACTCACATGGCATGAAAGGAAATCGTGTAAACACACACTCACACCCCCAAGCACACGTACTCAAAGTGGAAGGCGGGATGTTTTCCTTGCATTCTGAGTCGCCTAGGGCGAGCTACGGCTGTCATCTGAAGGCTGTGCATTTGCAAGCACAGCAAAATGTTAATTGGCAAGAGATGCCATGGCATGATGCATGGGTGCCATGCTATGGCGTACGGCTTCTCTTCCTCTTCCTCGTAATTGAGGTCGTGTTGGAAACGGTGGCCGTGGACGTAACATTTGCCGCAGCATCTTGTGGAGGTTGGAAGGATTCGAGTAGGTGCTGTTGCTGCAATGCTTGGTTACGATCTTTATGTGCTCTTTCGAGCAGCCATGCTCTCGTCACCGGAAACCAGACTCGCTGCCAGTGATCGTTCACCTGGCTCCAGTAGTACCTCCATGATGTGGGGCCTTCTGTGCGGTAGGCATCTCCGGATCCATTCATGTCTGAAGCAGAAGTAGTGGCTACAGGAGAGCAAAATGGCTGCGAGCAAGGAACAAAGTTGAGCTTTATAAACTGAAGTAGGACACTGTCGGTCGCCATGTGCAGGCGTTTGCACACACACACACACTCACAGACGCCCGGCTTGTTGCAGAGCAGGTTAGATCCAATGTATGTGGCAGAAAGCCCACCTGTATGTGGACGAGAGACAGTCTACATGCATGATGAACGTGAGGAGAGTGTGTTAGGACATTGTGAAACGTACATGAAATGGCAAGCACAACGTAGGCTGGCACGCACTAACATCTTGGCACATGCACGGCTACGAAAGGTGATGGGTCGGTGAAACATCATAGGATCACCCATGGTCTTTTACAGGCATTCGAATTGGGATTTCTTACGCGAAAGGCTTAGCCATGGGACTCGCTCGGTGATTACATTTTCATTGGGGCAAAGAGAAGAGGCGATTGATTCTATTTGTTTTCACGATTCACAGCAGCTATTAGAAACTATGAAGGCTCTAACCCAAAAACTTTAGATGCTAGGGCTTATAGCTCTCTACAGGTCCTTTTTTCCATATTTTATGAAGGAATGCAGAGGATTTGAAGGCCCGTTGCCTCAGGGCTTCCCTAATTTTGTGGAGAATTGCCCAAGCTGTATCATAAGATTTCATGCCAAGGTCTGACTGTAGTTCGAGATGTGTCAAGCAACTCTTAAAAAGATTTCTTCGCGGCAATTACTTTTAGGTCTTATGATTGTTTGTGCAACAGGATGGGTTTGAATTTCTTTTTGGATCTGATCAGCAATCTGGGACATTTTTACTGAGAGAGTTGTCAAAAGGCCCATCATCGTATCTGAGAAGCCAAAATGATTTTGCAAAATTGGAAGGATAGAATGGTCTCGTTTTGGGGAATTTCCGTGGGAGTTCCGGTAGGCCCCATTAGCGCTATAGGGGTTCCTGTTTTCAAGCTGGAGTGTGTCTCACTTGCAGCTTCCGATTCAGTAGCAGCAGAACGGGCGGAAGTCTTGGACTTTTTCTTGGACTTCTTGGCTTTTTTGCGCTTGGCCTTCTTTTTGCTACCTTTCGATCTCTTGGTGGACTTGGCGGGCTTGTCCTGCTTGCTCGTGGGGAGGTCAATGGGAGGGTCAAAGGCGGAGGACCATGAGCTGGCATCATCAGGGAGCTCATCGTAGTGTAGATACCACTTAGGCGTGTTGCTCATTTTGAGCGCTATAGCACAGAGGTGAAAAATGGCTGCGAGTACGGAACTTGCTGTGGAAATGAGACGTAAAACAAGCTGCAAGCTGCAGGAGAATGATTGCACCCTAAGCACAAGGCAAAGCACAGGTATGAAAAGCATGCATGATTTTTCCATGATGCCTGAGGAACTGATAAATCAACGTTGGAAACGTTGTTCAAGCTCTCGAACTCGCTGTTGCCGGTTGTTGATGTCCTGCGTGGTTTTCTCTATGAAATCAGCGAGCATCTCACGAAATGCTGGATCACGAAGAGAACTCGGCGTGGAAGGGCTGCGGGATGAAGAGTTGGCTGCTTCGCCAGCCGAATCTTCTCCACCAAGGATCTCCAGCAAAGCACGGGTAATGGCTTCCCGGCGTGCATTTGGGCTCTCTGGAAGCGGCTGCTGATCCATTGAGTGCGATGCGAGTTGACGAGAAGACCTTCAGCCAAACTCAGAACCTGTGCAAGATTCTGCAACTCCGCACAAAAGACGAGACAATTACTAAGGTAGACGCGGCAGGCCGAGTCCTTTTGTCTTGCACAAACTGGTTGGCTGATCAGGTGAACTTCCAAAACTTAGCTTTGAAATCAAATGAATGAATAGGTAGGCCTCGC